TTTTATATTGGAGACAATAAAATTACAATACGATGGGGAACTCCGGAGAAATGAAGAAGATTTGTTGTCACTTAACAAATCCACCTTTTACCACTGGCGTTAAAATTCAATAGGAGATGACATAATCATTAAAATAATTTCAATAAAAATGCAATTCTAAACTAAAACAAATAAGAATAGTTAACAGGTAGATTCATGTCAAAATAACACAGACAAATGTGATGAAGTGACTTTAGTCGAAGTTATTAAGATAATATCAGTTATACACATTTGAAAAAAAAATATTTACCTTATACAAGGCCCAAGAAACACCCCTGGTGTAGGGTTGGGGAATAAGAATATTGTAATGACGTTGAAAAAGAAGGAAGGTTTGCATATTAGGAAGATATGTAGGATAAATATCGGTTGACCTTGAATAAGTTAAAGTAATAGTTTTCTGGGAAGCGACCCCCAGCGTGGCTATACAGCAAAGTAACAGTTCTTGGGGAAGAAACTGCCAGAGTCGTATCCTTTCTTACCGTAGGTTTACGAAGGGAATGAACGTGAATTAACGACGTGTATTTGGTATGATGGGTGATAGTTTTGAAAGCCTGAACTGTTTGAAATAAGGAATGTAGCTCGCCTGAACATTTGCCATAGAAACAGAGATAGATTAGCGAGGGATTAGTAGCATTTCGTCTATGAGAAAAGGGTAGAAAATAATTCATAATCCACAAGCCCGTGCAATCGCATTTGAACTGTGGACATTGAGGTTTGGGAAGTATGGCAGTGATATTTCATTCTTTGTCTGATCTGACTCTTGTATGGACAGGGTAAGGCGACAGGAGTTAGGTACTTTTTGGAGCGACGCTACGAAAGACCGACCATGTGGTTTTGTGGTGAGCCTTAATTCCAATAGATGTTCGAGTCAAGGAGCCCTATTGATAGCACAACCACTGAAGATAAGAAAAATGAATATTTATCAAGCTGATAACTATCGTATTAAAATAGGGCTTGTCACTACCTTCGTTAGTTAGCACGGCCATCATGTCCTGTCAATACCTCATACATAACAGACTATTCCGCGTTTTGATCGCATGGAAACAGGGAAAAAGACATTTGGTTTCAGTGAGAAAATGAAAGAAAGAAGGAATAATAGCAATGGAGAGACAGACAGAGAGACAGACAGAGAGACAGACAGAGAAAGAGAGAGAGAGAGAGTCAGATTAAGCTGATAAGAACAGATAATACACTTTAATCTCAGTCAAAAGGCCGAGAAGCGATATTTTTCAGTGCTCCCAAGTCACTACCAAATGTGACAGAACGTGAGTTTAAAGTGAGTTTTCGGGCAATACCGTTGAAAAATTACCCAATTATCCGTTCGCATTTGATGGCACCTGAGGCACAAACAGTAAATTCAGCATCTTCACAAAGGAGAAGTACTACTTGAGGAGAAGCATCCCCATGTGTCTTGGGCTTAATATTATTTGAATCTCCCCGAGCGAAAAGGCCGAGAAATGATGGCGACCACAATAAAAGCGGAATTTTCAGACGAACAGTATTGAACAACGGAAACCGCCAATTACCATAGATTAAATAAAATAATATCGTCTGCTGAATCATTTTTAAATTATGATTTAGAAAAATGTTCATAAGACCAGGATTTAGTTAGAAAGAAAGAAATAAGGGAAGATAAAAATGCTTAACGCCTCTTGCCAATATATGAATATTGGACGATTCCGTTTCGAACACTGGAAAGAATGGAAAAGATACATGTTTGATTTCAGTGAGAAAATGAAAGAAAGAAAGAAAGAAGGAAGGGAAGAAAGAAAGAAAGAAAGAAAGAAAGAAGTGTGTCAAATCTTTTCATTTCGACCGACTTAAAAAAATTACGACAAGCGTTTATATTTGTCTATATATCTGATATGAGGTATTAAGTGCATTATTTACATTATTCGGACTATTGTCCTCATCTTTTGTGCCTATTTATCACAACGCTTCGGCCGTTGTACGTTCCGGCCTTCTTCAGGTGGTTGGAATGTGGAACTAAACCCTTTATTTCGCTCGCTGTTCTAGTTCCACGTGCCATGTCTAATGATTGTCAGTGATCAGTTATCTCCTATTAATTCACCTCTGCAAGTTCTCTACCGCTTTAACCAGGTATTGAACTCACAACTCTTTAGTTCCTGTCACTAGATCTAACCAACGCCTTTATGCACTGTTTCATGTGTACTTCAATTTTTACATTTACATTTATGATTCTTTTTGAATTAATGTTGTTTCTTATTTCATTTATATTTATGATTCACTGTGCATTTGTATTTATGATAGACTTTGCATTTATATTTATGATTCATTTTGCATTTATTTATGATTAACTTTGTATTTATATTTATTACTTATTTTGCATTTGTATTTATGATTGTTTTTGCATTTATATTTATGATTCATTTTCCATTTGTATTTATGATAGCCTTTGCATTTATATTTATGATTTATTTTGCATTTATTTATGATTAACTTTGTGTTTATATTTATGACTCATTTTGCATTTGTATTTATGATCTTTTTACATTTAGATTTATGATTAGGTTGCATTTATATTTATGATTCTTTTTTCCATTTGTATTTATGATTGTTTTTGCATTTATATTTATGATTCATTTTGCATTTGTATTTATGATAGACTTTGCATTTATATTTATGATTCATTTTGCATTTATATATGATTAACTTTGTATTTATATTTATGACTCATTTTTCATTTGTATTTATGATCCTTTTTACATTTAGATTTATGATTACGTTGCATTTATATTTATGAGACTTTTTCCATTTGTATTTATGATTGTTTTTGCATTTGTATTTATGATTGTCTTTGCATTTATATTTATAATTCATTTTGCATTTGTATTTATGATAGACTTTGCATTTATATTTATGATTCATTTTGCATTTGTATTTATGATAGACTTTGCATTTATATTTATGATTCATTTTGCATTTATTTATGATTAACTTTGTATTTATATTTATGACTCATTTTGCATTTGTATGTATGATAGATTTTGCATTTATATTTAATATTCATTTTGCATTTATTTATGTTTCACTTTGTATTTATATTTATGACTCATTTTGCATTTGTATTTTTTTTTTTTTTTTTTTTTAAGCATTTCACCCCAAGCAAGGCGGGGAGCCACTAGGACGCAAGGGGTTACAGAAAATAGGAAGATCAGATAGGAGTGATAGAAGAAAGGATGAGGGTAGTAGATAGATTAAGGCAACTGGAGATGTCGATTGACATTACACTTGAATAGCTGGAGATTATAACTCTCAGGGAAACAGGAGAAGGGAAGAGAGTTCCACAGGCGAGAGGTGCGAGACATGAAGCTATTAGAGTAGAAGAGACGGCTACATTTATGAGTTTCGACACTGAAGGGGTGAGAGCGGGATGCCAGCCTCGTAGGGCGCTTGAACTCATGAAGTTTGGGAACCAGCGAATGCAGTTCCTCGGAGCAATTTCCATGAAAGTATTTGTAGAACAGACAGAGGGAGGCGACGTTGCGTCTGTGAGAAAGTGACTGTAGACGAGACGCCAGGGCAGGGCCAACCATATGATCCTTTTTACATTTAGATTTATAATTACGTTACATTTATATTTATGAGACTTTTTTCCATTTGTATTTATGATTGTTTTTGTATTTATATTTACGATTCATTTTCTATTTGTATTTATGATAGACTTTGCATTTATATTTATGATTCATTTTGCATTTATATATGATTAACTTTGTATTTATATTTATGACTCATTTTGCCTTTGTATTTATGATAGACTTTGCATTTATATTTATTATTCATTTTGCATTTGTATTTATGATAGACTTTGCATTTATATTTATGATTCATTTTTTCATCTGTATTTATGATAGACTTTGCATTTATATTTATGATTCATTTTGCATTTATTTATGATTAACTTTGTATTTATGACTCATTTTACATTTGTCTATATGATCTTTTTACATTTAGATTTATGATTACGTTGCATTTATATTTATGTGTCTTTTTCATTTGTATTTATGATAGACTTTGCATTTATATTTATGATTCATTTTGCATTTGTATTTATGATAGACTTTGCATTAATATCTATGACACTTTAGCATTTATATTTATGATTGCCAAAATTTAAATTTATGATTCTTTTTGCATTTATTTATAATTGACTATGCTTTTATATTTATGAATCATTTTGCATTTGTATTTATGATTGACTGAAGAGTTCTTTAAGACATGTGTCTACTTCGTCAAATGTTAATTCGTTCGTCTTTTTTGGCAAGATATAATCCACGAACTTTGTATATTCTTCAGTTCCTAATTTTCTAAGCAATAGACGTACCTTTTTTGCTTCTGTCCAATTTTGACAGTTGTCATATGCCCTACTCGACGAATAATTTATAATACGCCGACCAGGAGATATATAGATTATCACGTCTATGGAGAGATATGTGCTATCTCTCCCAGACCATGACAAATGGACAATTAGTAAACAAAAATATTTAAAAGAACACTATTCGATTATGATAATCAAACAGTAATCTTTTCCCAGGTTCACTTCGGTTTCAACACAAATACTGATCCACAATTCAAGGATGAACGATAAGGCGTAATAAAATTTGGTATAAGAATTTTAATATGTACATATACACAAGATATAATAAAAGAAAAATATAAGCATGAGTAAAGCCTCCGACGACCAGAATCTCAAGAGCTATGTTGGGATACCAAAATTTGCCCAAATCCAAGTTGATTCGACTGAACCCGAATGGATAAAAAAATAAGTATGAATAACTACGAATGCATAAATCAACGCATAACCAAAAGAGATGGGATAGAATTTACATATTTTTATTTTGACATGTGGAAAGGTGTTTGTGAGAACATAAAATTTATGGATGCATGTGTATCTTTCTAACACGGGTCCAAAATATATAGTTACTTATCTTTATATTCAGTTCTCTCTCCTACTCATTGTCCTTTCTTTTCTCTCTCTCACGTTTCCTCTTTTCTTTCTTTCTTTTTCTTTACACAAATCCAATTTCATACACGGTCCGGCTGTAACAGAGACATATACTTTCTTCCTCTCTCTGGTTTTCTCTTTTCTTTCTTTCACACACAGGCTGTATTCTCAGCGTACAAATTTCCTTGCGTCTTCTGTGATAAATAACTCGATTTATCTTCTTCAATCTGGAGTTAACAAACAGAAATACATCCTTATATCTCATATCCGGAGTTGCTTATGATGAATCGGACAAATTCCATCATTACCAAAATGAGTCTCATTTTTCCGTTCATAAGTTATCAGCGCTTCAATTTCGAGTCTTGCTCCTTCAAAGACAAGACAGCAACTGACTTCCAAGTAATTTTCTAATTCCCACGTGTCCTGCATTTTGGCGCGAATTCTAGTTCCTGCTGCTTCATGACCTTACGTCAGTCACCTGTCTAGATTCTGTTTAGATGTCTGTTGCTACTGGTAACTATGTCAGCCAACCTCTTGACTTGCTTTCCCAAAATGTCTTGAGATTCCCACGTGACCTCTTCTGTTGTCAAACGGAGATTAACCTTGATATATGTGTGTATGCGTGTTTGGGCTATCTGTATTCGTCACACAGTCTATGTTAAAGATGTCTTCATGTCTTCTGAAGTGATCTCTAAAATTTTTGTCCTCATCTAGAGAATATTTGAAAATCTCTATGGTATTCCACACTGCGTCCTGCGAAAATGTTGCTTCTTTTTCAATATCTAATTGCTTGTTGCCCGCTAGTTTCAATATTAGTTCCTGGAGCTCTATTTGTCTTACTTGATTTTCCTTTTGCGTTTGTAATAATTGCTTTTGCCATTTTTCTTCCAGTCGTTCTTGAAGTTGTAATTGTTGATCATTTTGGTATTTTATCAGTTCTACCAAAATATTTAAAAAATCTTCCATGATAACTCAATTTTACGTATTTTGTACTCCTCGTCGCTAATTTGTTGTGGACGAGGGACGGATTTTTCTATTTCTTCTTTTGTGAGTTCGAATCGCTCGGCGCGAATTTGTTGTGTTTTTTTTTCCGTGTGTGTGCCAATTTGCTTGTTGCACGACGAGGGACGATTTTTCTATTGTTGATTTTTTTCTTTTCCACGTCAGTTCGAATCTTTGTCGCCAATTTGTTGTTGGACGACGAGGGAAGATTTTTCTTTTGTTGATTTTTTGTTTTCCGCGTGTGTTCGAATCTTCGTCGCCAATTTGTTGTGGATTCCGAGATGAAATTCGGTCTCCAATGAATGACAAACGCAAGAATTAAATATAAGAAATAAAATGTATTTACACAATGATACAAAGGGTAATACTGTTAATAAATCCAGGGACGCGGTTAGTAGCAATAATATATATATATATATATATATATATATATATATATATATATATATATATACTCTCGAAGTAGGACTTCCTTAGAGTCTACGTGCTTGTAACTGACTTCTACAAGCGGTTATTTCACACTATTACTCTACCTCCAACTCAATCACAATCTCTGCTCCTTCTCTCTCACTCTCTCTCTATATTCTGACTGACTCTGGGTATTTAACGGCAGCAGTCCAAGTAACACTCTGGTCGAGTCCACTTGTATGAAAAAGGGGAAGACCCCATAACACAATCTAAAAATATTTTCTGGCTTTAAATAACCTACTATAGGTTAGTAATCCGTGAAAAACAAATTAATGAATCAACCACCTCTTACTTCTTCCTTGTAGGCCATTACAACAGTCTCACTTAGTACTACTCTATCTTGAGTGGCTCTTGGTACAGAAACGTAAATCATAGTGTGCATTGATATTACTCATAGAGGAGCCATATTTTGTTAGTAATTCTTATGTTAATTTGTGAGCACGGTTCACTCACGGTTTTTCACTGCATTTCTATAGTAAAATCATGAACTCGATATATATGTTATATATATATATATATATATATATATATATATATATATATATATATATATATACACATTAGGTATTCGTTATATATACGTTACATATATGTTACATATATGTTACATATACGTCATATATACGTTATATATAATAACACTGTTGTGCTAGTGTCTTTCCCTTAATGTATGTGATTTGGAAATTGCTTTGATTCTGAGTTTCGAAATATTTATTATATAAAGTAGGCAAATATGGCTAAAAGCCACACAATGGTGATGTGGGAGGTTGGTCATTACGATTTTATCTTTTTAGCTGAGTTAGTCTCAATCAGTGACCCAATCGAGCAAATATTTTTGGCAAGCATCAGAGTTTTGCGTTTACACTTTATCAGTCACACTATAGGATTTACAATACCACAATTCCTGATTTCAATGTATTTCTTTTGTAAAATCATCAACCATGTATTTACTTCATATATAATTACAGTATTACATCTGTAAGTGTGGCTTTATTCTGTGATCTTTGACAATTATTTTTCCCGCCTTACAAAGTAAAATAATCAGCAATAATTTACATTACATATAATTTCCGTTTATTGTCAATAACTCTTGGTAATTTATTATCATTAATGATACATTTAAATCCCACCTTCCAATGTTTTTCAAGTAAAACCCATTAGCAATGAATTTACATTAGAGCTAATATATGGTTCAATTTCCGATCATTAAAAGTAATAATATATCAGCCGTATTCATGTGATAACCCTATGATGCTAGGCAATATTACATTGCGTGGCAGAAATACTTAACACATTTTAAACCTCTCATCTGTGGGGTATTCGCGGACTTAGTCAAGCAGCAATGATCTCTTCGTCTAAATATACGTAACTATTTATTTTTCAGATAGAATTAGTTATCATCATAGTACGAACCGGCGCACATCGTGCGTTTGCTGTTGAAACGTTTTTTAAAGACTGGTGAATCGGTAATTGTAATCTTTTCGTGCCCATTTCATGTAACGTCGGAAAGGTGATGTTCTAGATAGAAAATTGATCCTGTTATGGCTGGTTAATTTCAGGGGCACATTAAAAAAGTCACCTGAAATGCCATGAAGCCCTCGAATTTCCGAATGATGAAAAACATTAGAAATCGTCTACAAAAGAATAGCGAATAAAGGCCAACATTTAGAGGATTTCATTGTGAAAACGGAATAAATAGAAACTGTAGCCCTTTATCTAAACAACAGTGTAATATTTTTTTTTAAATAGTAGCTACCATGGTCTTTTAAAATGTAGGAGATATTTCTGCCATATCCGGTAATTATTCCCAAACTGTTGTTTTCATCAGGATAACACAAGCAAGTGGTTTTATCAAGGAAAATAAATCAGGAGTGAACGTAAAAAAAAGAAAAAAAAAAGATAGAAAACACCCGACCCGACAGAATTCAAATTCTAAGCTTCAGTGCCATTTATCTCTGCTGGTAACAGTCACGCCAATCAAAGACAAAATTTTCCCTGTTTGGTTCACACATGAATTTGCTATTTCAACAACTTCTATAGTGGCGCCAGAGAATTCTCTGCAGATGTTCAAATGTATTCGGTGTCTATTTATAGTTGATTAGTGAAAGGGTGTTCAAAATGAAAAGCAGAAATCTCTCTTCCCGAGGGATTTCCGTGGTATTTGAGAATAGCGAATTCGAAATATAGCGAGGAAGTCTCACGAGATTTAAAACAAGATAGGATGCAAGTAAAAAAGAAAATATCGTAGTGAGGAAGTCTCGCGAGATTTAAAACAAGATAGGATACAAGTAAAAGACAAAAATGCTAAAACTACTCGACATTCGTAATATAGGAATATTCTTGACGCATATAAAAGTAAAACAGACAATTTTCGCATAAATCCACACAAACAATAACAAGGGCGGAAACAATAGGAATTTAACATCGATATATATATATATGTCACAACCAGATACTATGGCATCCAGTATATAAGTCTTTATTATGCAAGTTTCTATTTTCACAATAGAATTGAGATTAATGATCTGATGTTAATGTTTACAGGATATAATTATCTTTATAACAGTAATATATCATATGAATTTCTGCGTAGAACATCCATCCGTATAATATTGATTATAAAATATGTTGTGGGTGCCGGAGTTTATGAAAAAAGAAAAGAAACATAGATTGCTTTTAATTAATAAAATGATTCTGTCTATATTTCTGAGATGAGGTATTATGTACATTATTTACATTATTCGGACTATTGTCCTCATCTTTGTCGCCATATTTATCACAACGTTTCGGTCGTTGTACGCTCCGGCCTTCTCCAGTGGTTGGAATTTCGAACTGAACCCTTTATTTCGCTCATTGAGGTAGACTGTCCTCAAGGACACATGGCACAGTGGATAAAGGCGTTGCTTAGATCCAGTGACAGGACCCAAAGAGTGTGAGTTCAATACCCAGTTTAGGCAGTGGAGAACTTTCAGAGGGAAATTAGCAGGAGATAACTGATAACTGACATCCATCAAACATGGCACGTGGAACTATATCAGTCTACCCCAGTGATCGAAATAAAGGGTTCAGTTCAACATTCCATCTACCTGAAGAATGCCGGAGCTTACAACGGCCGAAACGTTGGGATAAATATGGCGACAAAGATGAGGACAATAGTCCGAATAATGTAAATAATGTAATAAATGATTATTTATTTTTCTTAGCATAGCTCTCTTGATCTTCTACCTCAAACCATAATATCTTTTTAATCCTTTCCCCTCTATGCAGTGAAACCACTAAGACATTGGGAGTGAAAGAATTAGAAAACAAAAAATTACTAATTAGCGAGAACAGTAGAAGATTAATCGGGAAGACAGTAGATAACAATTGACATTGCATTTAAAGTTTTGAAGATCAAAGTTGGCTGGAAAGCATGGAACAGGAAGCGAGTTCCATAAGAGAGAAGTGCCTGAAAAGAAACCGTTAGAAAACAAAAAACAAGCAAACTTACGGTTACATCTAGCCAATTAAACTGTAAATTGATGAGACCTTCTTACTAATCTAGTCGTGCGTTTAAATTCATAAAATCTAGGTACCATAGCGAATATGTCACCCGAACATTTACCATGAAATTATTTATATAAAAGGCACAGAAAGGTAATAATACGGCGGTGAGAAAAATGAATGAAGCCGAGATGCCAGGTCTGGACCAATAATATTGCTGATTCTTCTTTGGCTTTCATGAAAAATCTATAAATATATAGAAGGAATACCAGACCAGATTTAGCAGAAATATTTAAAGCAGAGACGAATAGTACCCTTATAGATATATAAGATAGATTCTGAAGATAAAAAAAAAATTGTCTAGTACGACACAGTGAACTAACATTCTTAGCAAAAGACCTAGCAACGGAGTCAATATAATCTTTCCGCTGTATGTCACCCGAGAATTTTAGCCCCAGAAGGCGCAACGAGTCACTCTCCTAGAGTTTAGAATCTGATGGAGGGCAGAAAAGGGTATCTTACATGATTGTACGTTTATTTTAAGAGAACCTGTGTAAAAATTTCCATGACAGTTCATAGATATTTATCTTATTCACAAATATTTATTTTTTAATTTTAACTACGTTAGATTTTCAAAAAATGTACAAATTAACCAAAGAGACCCGTAATCGTAAGGTTGTGAGAGTATGGAAATTTTTCTGTTGTTCTGATGATCTTCTTTGGAAATGTAATAAAAATATGACACATTCAACTGTTTTGTAATGTCAACGAATACTCGTTGTCACTTTCGTAATGCTCGGTGTAGAAGAGACTTTGAAATCGCGGATACAACTATAGTAACGCCGTTGAACAATACTGGTGTCAGACGCCTTCGTATAATCCCACACTAATAGTACTTTTTCGATAATATCCGCTCGTAAAATCACCACCGAGTAGTGATCAATATAGAGAAATAGTATAGTGAATAGAGTAGAGAATAATGTCCGTATAGTAATAGAGGATAGACTAGAAATGAGGATTCATTAGACGTCACGCGACCTCCTACTTATGCTACTACTCTATAGTCACGTGGTCTACTTAATTCAATAATGGGATCGCCTGTGTTTGCTCATCGGCCATCTATATTCATACTCAGCGACACTTTATTCCTTTATAACTGTTTTTGACATATTCCATCTTGCATATTTCAAAACAATTTTTAAGTTATTGGACGCAGATACATGAATTTGATTCACGCAATATTCCATATACGTGGATAAGTTATTATCTTTCATATTTATATGGCCTTCTAGACATTCTATAACATTCTTCAATTTTTCTCCCATTGATTACGTTTTTTGTTAAGTTTCCATTACTTGCAGCATTTTCTAAATTGATTTCCAGAGATCTTCGCTTAAATATGTTTTTTCTATTCTCAAATGAATATTTGTATTGACATGTAGCAAAGTTTTATTAATATCTCCAATGGAAATGTTAGGTTGCATTTTATTAATTTTGTCTCTATAAAACGTTTTTGGCAATATGGTCAATAGTCAGCTTTGCAAAACTTACAAGAAATTTACTTTGAGTGAATAAAATCGATAACGGAAAGTTATTTGGTAGTGATCAGAAGCACTAAAAGAGTATTGTCCAAGAACTTACAATACATCTCTACATTTGTCTTGATATCAAAATCAAATTTGTAGAGACGTAAAATTTTACTGCTTATAATAAAATGTCAAAATATTATTCGATCAATTTATATTGTTTTTAAGTTGCCGTGGTTGACTATTTCCATTAAGGGAATGATTTCTAATTGAGATCCTGCCAATGTAGCTCTATAATAATCACAGGAGTTATTCGGCAGTTTGGTGTTTTCATGTATTCCTTCATTCAATTCATACGTCTCTTTGTAGTGTTTACTTAAAGATGAAGTTAAGTTTTATATAACATCATGCGTTTATTCAAATTTTCCGTTCACAACAATAGTTTCTTCAAATATTTGTTTGCGTATATATTATTTTTACTTTACTTAACACGTTTCAATTATTTTATTCGTAAAAGTTGCACGAGTAAATCGATATCTATCTATCTATCTATCTATCTATCTATCTATCTATCTATCTATCTGTTATGGGACCTTACCCATAATAACATAATGGACTATTCCATACGTAATAAATACTGCGCCTCAAGAGGAAGCAGGGAGTTCAGTCAGAAGTCGGGCGACCGGCTGACCGGCTGATCGGTTGAACTCTCTGCCTTCGGGTGGGGAGGAACCCGAACGAGGCTACGCCGAACACGGGCTCGGAGATCCCACGTTAAACCGGTCTTGTGCCACACGATTCCCTCGTGGGGTGGGTGACTAAATACCGTTCAGTCTGAAGTCTGGAGTGACGTCAGGAGTCTGTCAGTCAGTCAGAGCGAGCGAGTCAGTCAGTCGAGTCATAGGCAGTCCGAAACAGAGTCGCGTTCAGACAATTACTGCAAGACATTGGAATAGTGATACTGGTCGAGACTACATTGTTCTCCCTACTAAACCTGATTCGTTCGTACTAACACTTTCTACTGCTCTGTATATATTCCTGTTTGTAATATATCTGTGTTATTCCATATCCGTGTCTGAGTTCTTCTTTATTGGTTCTACCTTGGACTATCACCCGGGGTACAAGGACCTGGACCATAACGCTATCAATTCATTCATTATTTATCTCAGTATGTTATCTATCTATCTATCTATCTATCTATCTATCTATCTATTATGTTTAAACAACAAGAATTTATTACAGTATGATTTGTTAAATTCAACACACAAAGTTTGCCTGTTTATTTTTTGTCTGTATTGTGAAACGCTGGAAATCAAATTAATTAAAAAATTGTTATATTTTATTAGTGACTCCGCGAGTACAAAGGTTACACACAATGGAAACAAACGCATTAAGCGTTTGTACGCATTATTATTATTTTTTATTTTCTTAATCATTTTACCCCAAGCAAGACGGGAATGTCAATAGTACGCATGTGGTTACGGAGAGTGAAAGTGAGAGAAAAAAAAAACAAAAAACTGGGTATGGTGGTGGGGGAGATTGAAGAAAGGATAACAGATGAACGGGATTAAAAAAAATAGTAGATGACGTTGGATATTTTTCTTTATATCACCTATCGTGATAGAAGTGATAGAACCGAAAACATGGAGAAGTGGGTTGATGACATTACTGAACGAATTACTCTCTAGCTACATTTATACTCACCTGTCGAATAAGTCCTGGAGATGACGATAAACTCCTTCCGGTTGAAAGATCTCAGATCGGGATATTGGAGGATTTTTTTTATAGCGTTGAAACTCTTTTTAATTGCTTTTGTTCCCAGTTCCACCCTGACTCAGAGTCTTTGCACCTATTAACGCAACAGCTATTGAGAAATAGTGAAACCCCAAGCAAAATACTATTAAAGTCTAAAAATACACTTTAATAGTAAAAATACCAGCCAAACATTTTTATATAAAAAGACCAATACATACCAGGTCTAACAACAAAATTGTCCAAATCGTGTAAGAGAATGTGATAATTGTCCATCCCACGAAATGTTTAATATCTAAAAAATCACTAAATTAATTGTTTCTTATTTTCAGGTTTTCAGGTCAGACTTTTTGCCATCTTGATACCATTTTATCGTAAGAATCATTGAGAAATGCTTTGAGTTATTCAGTCAGAAAGTGAACAGGTTAAAATCGTTTTGTGTTAGCCCCAATATGTCTTCCCAACTGAGCAACGGTGAGAGGATAAAATCATTTAGGCCTTCATTAATGGTACCAACATTTATACTCTGGTTTCCATTTTCAAATCTATTCAAGAACCATCAAGAGAATGGTAAATAAGTTTAAGAACAGTAGAGAGGAAAACTGGATCAGGATGTCGCAACAAGAAGAGGAATAATCATTTCAATTTAGAGCTAAATGCATTATTATTGTCCAGTAGTGTTATAAAAATCTTGAAGAATTCCAGTAAAATATCTTTAATCATTTCTAAGATACAACAGTTCAAAGATTAATCTAGCAACATTATATATATATATATATATATATATATATATATATATATATATATATATATATATATATATATAATATAAACTAAACTAATATAACTAAATATAACACGGAATCCTATGTATTAATATATATATATATATATATATATATATATATATATATATATATATATATATTTCTGTTTATACGTTATTTTTGTTGTTAAACCCGTTATTTTTGTTGTTAAACCCGGTATAGTAAAATGACCAACAATACATTTTATACAATTGCGTTTAAAATATATTTAGTTGAAGTCATAAAATTGTTAAAATCATTTATATTACATTTATATTAAATGACCCATATTGCCAAACAAAATCAATTAAAAATGTCCTATATACATATCTGTGTGTGTGTGTGTGCGTATGTGTAAAATGCATATAGAAAAAGAGAGCAGTGAAAACTAATACATAAGTACATTATTCTTTTTAATGTTTTACCTGTTCTCACTCACCTGTCTGACGTGGCATTGGGTTTAATTATAGATGTGAATACATCTGTAAGAAAAAGGCTTCATTTATTTATGTATTAAACCGACATTATATCTCATAGAATATTATGTTTACACTCACACACACACATATGCGCGCGCACGTACGCACACAATTCCCTCTCTCCTAAGATGTCGGAAAAATTGCAAGAATTCTAGAATTCATAACGGAAGCAGAGAAGTAACTTGCTTTGAAAGAACTCTAAGTCAACTAAGAACCTACCATTTTGTTTAAGTGTTCGGGTTAATAAATAAGAGATGTCCCCAAATTTAGATAAAAAATGTAGCAACAAATATTTTGTAAGAATGTGTGTATCTTAATTTTGCCTTTCGCCTTGTTGAAGTTATGTGTAAACTGATTACAATTAATTATATATTAAAACCTCATGTTTTGATTACAAAAACAGTTAAAATCACTTCAGTTCTCTCTTATGTGGATACGTTCACACAGTCCGTACACAGGGCTGTGTGAAGGCCACAGAATGAAATTAAAATAACAAAGTATCTCCAAATTACCTCTGACCAACGTGGACCATCAGCATGGAGATCATCAGTTGTGAATGGGCTACGCCTGGTCTATTTTGTCCAAATCCCACTATGCATGAATGAATGCCTCCCAAGACATGTGGTGGGGAGGTTGTCAGGTACTCAGTTGGGCAATGACCCTGTCGCCAGACGTGATTATAAGACAGAGGATTGTGATGAAGTTAAGGAAGTCTTTCATTTTTAAATAATTGTTTATAGTTGTATCTAGAATTTTTAAGATTATCTGAAGATTTGGCCTTCATATTGCCTTCTTCCTTTTCTTCTTCTTTGTGTCGATCATGGATCTCCACAATTTCCTATTCTTTGTAGCACTTAGTAAAGCTCTTTTGTCTTTTTGAAGTCTCTCCTAAATCCTAACCTGCAATCTATTTACACAGTCTCACTAAGTATGTTATGAGCTCTTTTCATCTGTCCATCTCGACTTCAATCTGTCTGGTAAGTGTCAAATTTCCGAAGCCCTCTTTCCTCATTATGTACTCTAGAAATTTCAACTTTCTCTATGCCTTTTTTGTTTCACTTTTCTCTAAAAGTTCATCGTTTCTCACATGTTCAGTCTATGGTATTCTCATCATCCTTCTGTAGAACCACATTTCTGTTGCTTCAAGTCTTTTTGTTTTCATTTGTTCTGAGATTATCCAACATTCACTGCCATATATGAGGAATGATATTACATCACAGTTCAATATTCTTTTCGTTGTTTCTAACGACATTTTTCTGTTTTCTGAGCGGTAGAGAAAGTTGCATGCGTTCACGTCATGCTGTGAACGGAAAATGAGTTAAAGGACGCTGAAACAACTGATGAACAAATAATTTTATGTGAAGACTTGTAAAGGAGCTAGTGAATTGTTTGTGGAATTCTCTCTCGGCTTCTTGCTTTCCAGTCAACTTTGGTCTTCAAAAAGTTAAACGCCATGTTAATTGTTATCTTCTGTCCTCTTAATTCTGGATTTTTATTGTTCTCTTTTCTTAAAAATGGTTTACTATTCTTTTACACTCATTAAGCCTCTTGTGTCTTCTTATTTGGTGGCGAAACGGTTAAAAAGTTTATACATATTGTTCAAGGTATATTTATTTCATATATTTATTCTCAACAATTGGCGCTAGTGAACTCCATCTTGATTTTAGTCTTCTGTCATCCAGTGTCCATCGCCTTGTTGGAGAAGAAAAGATGAAGAAAGGTACGCATTTATATCCAAAATTAGTATCGTTTTATTTTTAGAACTACCTGTGTTAATTGATGTTGGTGGAAAAGGTATAATGAAAACATTAAGAGTAACAAGAAAATAATATCGGATTAAAAGAAAACCCATTTCAAAATTACAGATTTACGTTTAGGTTACAAAAATAAAGCTAGCACATTTAGATTCGAATCGTCACAGTGTTAACATAATTTTGACTCAACCTCTCATACTAGTGATAACACAATTTTGACTCACCCTGTAAATAAATATAAATAATTATATATAAATAATTATACAGGGTGTTCCAAAAGACTTGGGCACAATTTCACATTGAATATCTCGAAAACTATTAAGGATATAAAAACGCGCCTGACATATTCTGAAAGAATTTAATCTCAAGTTTTCCATGGAATGTTCAAAGATGTTCAATGTGAGCATCTTTGGTCACACGGCACTCATCAAACCGATAATCCAATTCCTGCCAAACGCGTTCCAGCATTTCGTTGTCGATGGTTTCAACAGCTTCCGCTATTCGGGACTTCAGTTCATTTACATATTTGGAAGGGGAGGCACATAGACCAATCATTTCACAAACCTCCACAAAAAAGAAATCGCAAGGTGTGAGATCTGGACATCTGGGAAATGCGCGTTGAACAAGTGTCCATGATTCAGTTTTTGTAAATTCAAAGGCGCAACACGCCTTTTCTGGTTGAGTGAACGCCATTATTGGATCTGAGAAAGTATGAAAAAAATCATTATATTACACAAAACGTAATGAATTTAGCTTTAAAATGGTACCAGTTTAAATCTTACTACCATTCATAGTTCAGTAGATATGGGGGCTTGATATGATCCCGAAACTTCTGGAATACCCTGAATATAAATAATGTAATAAATGATTTAATAAATGATTTCTGAATTATTTTTTTTGTAAAAAATTACTTGATGTAACCAAAACAATTATTTAAAGTATAATTGTCGGAAATATTTTCATCTTACTTAATAATATTTTTCAAATAGACAAAGCGTATGTATATATATATATGTGTGTGTGTGTGTGTATATGTTTGTGTCCTTATCACAGGGATATTATCATGAGGAGATGCATAAATAAGCTATCCTGTTCAGAATGACAAAAATAAGATAACTATATAACATGACACCGAGGAGATTTCAACAATGTCGAAACTGTTTTATTGGTTTATTTCTACATTATTGTGTGATGCGATCGTTTTCCTTCTGACATTGCTTCTTCCAAACTGAAGTGGAAGCCTGCATTTCATATGTCCAGAGAGATGGAGGGAAGCATTGACGTCTTTGCACACACACACACACACACACACACACACACACACAAAGTTATGCACAGATTTCAGAAGATAAAATAAAATGTGTTAGAATTTGTCTTTATTTTTAATTTGTGCTTATATATATATATATATATGTGTGTGTGTAAAAGGTTCAAACACTAATATTCCATGGATATAATTTATTACATAGGAATCACAATCATGATCCAATTCATTACACCTTCAAATTTGTAAGTCTGATGAATTGGATCGTGATTACGATGCCAATGTAATAAATTATAACCATGGAATATTAGTGTTTGAACCTTTTATATTATATTCTTACT